TATCTTTATCGGCATCATCTATGATGAAAACATCATAACAAAGCAATCATTGGAGTTTAGTTCACATACTTCTTCATTTCCTACCTGTGCAGTCATGCATCGTGGACGTTCAGCAGGAGGGCAATCTTCTATCAATAGATCGCCAAGAAGACCGACCGGTAGGATCGTCAGCAGCGACGCACATCTGAAAGTATTTCTCATTTCAGGTCCTTTCACTGATGTTACTCGAGAGAGTTACAGAGACGTAAACGGAGAAAAAGAGATTCCGAGAAGGTTGTGGAATTTCACATTGTTCGCTGTTACGAGTGCTCTTCCAGATGTTTGGTGATAAAGCGAAATCATCCAGAGCCTGGAGTAGAAAGAACAGAACTGCGTCTGGTTACTTATCAGAAGTCAGGGACCAGACTCGATGTGAGATACAGTGCCCATAATTGCTGCGCGATTTGAAAATGCAGACTTTAGCAAGCACATATTCTGATGGATGCCGCTCGCTACCTGCAAGAAAGAGCGGATGATGCTGACTATGAGGACACTCGTCGTAGCAGAACCTATTCGCGATATTATAGTTCCACTCGTTCATCCTCTGGTGAAAGCGGCAGAAGTGGCCATTATGGGGTTCCTTCACTTGACTCAGCTAGCAGTACAATAAGCCAATTAGTACTTATAGGACCAAAGATCTGGTTCATCTTATGGGACAAGCGGTCCTTCGGGAGAAGCCAAGAAAGCGGCCCAACTTGCAGATCGTAAAAAGCTTCGTGAAACTTTGGAGGTTTGTTAGTGGTAACTATTTCACCATCAAAAACGCAAATTTTCAGAATCTAGTGGCATACTTCGCCCGCCGAGCAGATGACAGCGGCGATCGGGAATGGTCAGTAATCACTGGGATTGCTGAGCGACTACTCTTCGATGTTTCTGAGTGTATCCAAACCGAGCAGCCAATTAGTCACGACATGATTACAAGGATTAGGGTTCGTTTAATCCAACAGCCTTTGCCCGGATAATGTCGTAATTGCAGGGTCTCAAAAAGCTAGCCAGGCAAGCCACTTTTAAGGTTAGTGCAACCAAAGTTTGGTTGTTCCTACTAGCTATTTGAAATTTCAAAATTGGAGTCGAAG